AGCTAGCCTTTATTTTAAGCTTTCTCAGAGCAGAACGCATCCACTGTTAGCGTCCGGTGCATCTTTAGTGTAGTCTTCTACGCAATTTCCCCTTCTCTCTTTTTGCTTCAGCCATTATTCAGCTCTCTACCTATCAAATATATTGTTCAAATTAACAAGCGAAGCATTCAGGACATGGAGCTGGACTGTTCTTTTTATTTACTCTGGGAGATCATGTTTACGTTTGAAGTTCTGTTCAAGTCTTGAGGTATTTCACGGGTTCGGGGCTGGGCCCAATAGTCCCGGATCTACTGGCTGCGGTTTTCGTTGGTTCTTCATGGATGTGAATTTGTGATTGAATACAGAGAATATATGGGACAGGGCGAAGGCCGGGAAGCTTTATATAGGGGCCACGCTACATTGGAGCTATTGACGGGGAGGCTATGGCAGTAGTTCCAGAGATCAGGGACCTAGGGGTCACCCTGAACTCCGCTCTTAACTCCTCTGCCCAGTGCCTTGCTGCGGCACGTGCGGCCAACAAAGCGTTGTCCAGGTTGAGGCGCACCGGGGACCTTGTCGTACTAGTCCCGCTTTACATGGCCTTCGTTCGGCCACATCTAGAGTGCTGTGTGCAAGCTTAGTCCCCAGTTCTGAAAAAGGACCAAAAGGTTCTGGAGAGGGTGCAGCGAAGGTTCACGCGCATGTTCCCGCACCATCGGGGCGCGACATATGCTGAACGCCTTCAGGGGCTGAACCTGTTCTCACTTTAACGGAGAAGGCTGAGGGGTGATCCGATTGAAACTTTCCGTATCTTGACGGGTTTCTCTCATGGAATCTCCCACCTCTTCCAGCGGATCAACGTACCCAACAGAAGGGGGCACAACATGAATTAAGAAAATCCCCGGGCAATCGATCGTCTCAGAGCCGCCTTTTTCTCGCACCGGGTGGTACATACATGGAACAAACTGCCTCAGGAAGTAGTGACTTCAAAAACCGTTGCCGAGTTCGGCCTGAAGCTTGACGCACCCTGGGAATCAACGTTCCGCGATTGTATCTGAAACGGGGCTCAAGGTCGCTAATAGCTCGCCGTCTCCGTTCCCCCTTTTTATATTAAGCTCTTCTATCTTACGACACTTCACTTTGATTCCCCCAACTCTCTTTTCATTCACTGTTCATCACACATTTTACTGAAGTTTCTCAGCATCCAGTATCACCACTTTTAGATCATGTTTCTTCTCCACAACACATTTATAATTCTGAGTAGCTCTAAGCGGAGGGTTGCGAACTGTTGCTTTGATCCTGACAAAACCTCAGGATTACCATCCGTCGCTTCTTACCTTCGTTGGTTTTAATCAAGACCTGGGACCGCCATGGTGATCGAGAAGTTTCGATTATTTCCTCGTTCAATTGCCTAGCAACCTCTGAAAGAATCAAACGTTCATCGTTGTAGCTGTCTTCTCGATTTTGTGCAAATAGGACAATAAGAGGGATCCTTATGTGCGAAGAAGGGGGGGATGAAAGAATAACTGTTGAGAGGCCACGGAGGCAGCAGTGGCTGAATTCTTTGAAGGGGTATTTCTAATGACATTCCGTTTTACAACGGTATGTCCCAGTTCTAAGCGAGCACACAAATCAAGAAGAACAGGCGGTTTGACGTTTTCCTGCCGAGTACGTTTGTGTATTAGTCAGATAAAACAGTGTCCCCTAGTACAGCTTGTCATACGAGTGGAAGCCAGGACAAGCTTACTACTAGATTTCAATGTCAACCATTTGTTCCGGAGCATGATCTCCTCAGATACGTAACTTTCCAAGGTTCCTGTGCACACCAGAGCCTTTAGTGCTACTCCGTTGACAGTTACATCAGTAACATCCTTGGTAAGGCTCGCTTGGGCTGAGGCTACGCTAGTTGAGGATACGAGAAATTTTGATGTAGCCGCTGTATGCTTTGAGTTCACAGAACCCCGGCAAACCTGAAAGTATTCCCACTTGCCACATGACTTTTAAGTTGTATCTTTCGTATGACATTTGTGACGAGGATGTCGATCATAACCACAAAAGTAGCAACTTGTTCGGGATGCAGCCAGTTTCTCAGGTGTCTGATTTAGAGCACTCACAGCGGAAGTGTAGATTGAAGGAGTAGCTTCGACGAATGTCTGAGACCGCTGCTGAGCCAGATCGAGAGCTTTAGCTTGGTCGTAAGCGGCACTCACGTGGAGTGTTGTATTTTGGAGGAGACGCAGCCCATAAGGTTTGGTAATAACCTGCTTATAAACGCGTCACGAATAGCGTCCTCGTTTTGTTCTGCCATGACTGCTTTAGAATTGTAGTCTCGAGCAAAGTTTTCGAGCTTCTGCATGGATTGATCTAGAGTTTCAAGGGTGCTTTGCTTCGATGTCGCCAGAGGACGATGCACAAAATTTTCTTCCTGG